GAAAGCCCACTACTTGGCTGAAGTGGGGACTCTCATCACTGGGCATACTGACAGATTGTGGCCAAACTAAATCAAAGGTCTGAAGAGACACTGACCTGCCTACATACCTGGGATGTTATCCTGTCCTACATACTCCAAGGCATCATAGCCGATGAATCATTCCAAAACTGCTGCAACCTTCAACTTATTACAGAAACCAAAAGCAAGCCAATCTTGCTTCGTAAAGGACATTGTAACTAGCATACCAGAAGTGTCCCTATTTCAGCTGTGAGCGAGCAGCTGCAAATTAGTTGCTGGCTGGGGTTAAACCATGACAAGAATCTGACTCCTTAAGTGGTCAGGTGCTCCTGCTTCAAGGGTATTAGCATCCATCACAAATGAGCAGGCAGGCTGGAGAAGGTAAAGGCTTTGATGTTCCAATGTTAAATCCTCATAAAACTCTCTAAATGTTAAATATCCAAGCATCAGTAAAACAGGCTCCACTTGGCATCTCCTTAAGCAGCCCAGAACCAAAACAGAGTGAAAAAACCTCCATATATCCTGCACTAAACTAAGTGCTTACTCCTCAGAAGTAGCTCAATATATCTGTCCAAGGCAGAGACAAGATGTCAAGCAAGTGATTTTGAAGTTCTTATGGACATTATTCTCTTAACAGAAAAACATACTTAAACTCCATAAATAAAGGTATTTACTTGGGAAGAGAATTAAAACAAGGTGTTTATTCTATGATATTCTCATTTTTGTCAAAAGAAACACTTTAACCTCCTTAAAACACCTGCTAATTTTTGCAAAATAGGTATCTTTCTTCTATCTTGCAAGGCCATAGTAAACTGACAGTTAATCAACTGTGTTAATTATCTGAAAGCCTATCATCCTTAACAGCCATACTTTTGTCTTAAGCAACTAACAGGCATTGCTACACTAGTCTGAAGTGGTAAAAACACACCACCACCATCCAACATGTCTGTCTTTAACTTCACTCCCTTTCAGATGTTTTTATTCAGATTCACAATGCACATAAGCCTCTCTTTGTTAAAAGGCCCTTCTGTGTACAAAGAAAATTATGCCTTAGGCAACTACAAGCTACACAGTTAGACAGCTTTCTCTGTAGAAAACTTTTTCTAAATCCCAACATTGCTGCATTTAATATCTCTCAGCTGTATTATATGGTATTTTGTTTTTTTCTATTTTATACAGAAGAAGCCCAAGTTAATACAGATCATACTAAACACGACATATCTGAACTTGAACTTAGGGTCTTGTTTAACTTCTGTATAGATTTTAAACAGTGTAACACATTTCGGGTTATCCCAAACACAAACACTAAAACAAGAAAAAAACTAAAAGGAGGTTAAATGAATTGGAGATCACTGAAATGGAACAATGAATTTCACTAAAATTTAACTGTTTTTTTAAAAACAAAAAATCTCATTGATATTGGAAAGTTAATTCACTATAGATCTTTGAGAATGCTCTCCATGTTACTGCACAGTTGTATGAGAGAATACAGAAACCTTTCACACTAACACCTACTCTAAAGCCATGATAAAATGCGCAAAGCCAAGTGTGCATTAGTAAGATTGCTAAAGGAGAAAATATGTGGTTCTCCATGTATGCTGACAGATACAAAAAATAAATACATGTAACAGCTAGAAATAGGGCAAAAGAAGAATGCAATGAAACTCAGCTCGTATTTATTTTTGTAAGCTTTGTAAGCTTTTTACTTTTCAACAACTGTTGGTGTGTGAAGACACATACAGACCACTGGAAGGGCTTCACACAAATCTTACAATGTAACAGACTGACTCATGCAAGCAGCAACTACTGGAGAATATTTATAAACCCATAAAATCCAAATTTTTTTAAGTCTGTATGCCGTTTGGTAGTTTTAGGATAAGTTTAAATTTATCCAAGGAGGAATACAGCTCAAAGCACAAACAACTTCAAAATACAATATAACATAAGAAATCTGTCAAGGGGAAGAGTGGCAAAAAATCTGTTCAGTTTAACAGATTTCTTTAATTCTAGTAACCAGCACCTGTTTTGTTTGAAGTCACAAAATGTAAAAACAGCACATGAAATTCTGCGATTACTAACAAAGAAAGGTATATCCAGAAATGTAGCAAGTTCACCCAAATCAAATGCAAAGCCAGGATGCACAAATGACAAAACACAAGCTTGTGTTTGCAGCACTTTTTTTTTTTCATAGGAACTAAGTTCTTAACTCTTAAGCAGTCATTTCATGCATTAAGCATACACCACAGTTAAAACAGCTACGTATCCACTCACAACCAAAATGTAACATGGAGCCCGGGTTTCAAAACTACACAGTTCAAGAACACATTTACTTCCTCCACTTGACATGCACATTTGCTACACCCTAGTGCCAACTATGTTTAGCTTAGAAAGTTATAATTCTCAATTACAGAGACAGGGCTCAGATATAATCCTTGCTGTCAACTACCCAATGTAGAAGTGCCATTACATTAAAGGTTGACAAGGGCAAGGACAGTACACAAGCTCAGTTCAAAACAAATCAACAGGATAATTTTCTCACCTCCAATTGTACTTTCTTGAAACTCATGAAACTGTCCTTTTACAAATCGAAGCACCAAACTTGATTTGCCAACTGCAGACTCTCCTAAAAGTACTAGTTTGAACTGGCAAATTTTATTTCCAGCATTTGGCCCATTGGGTCTTGTTGCTCCTCGATTAGCCATGTCCAAATTAGAAAGAAGTCCTTTATTTCAACAGCTTTTGAAAGTAAGTTCCAGGATTCAGACCTCAGTGGTTCTTCTGCCAGTAATAACCTATTTGTGAAAAGACAGTGGGTGGTATTAGATTTACAAACCAAGTAAGAAAGATCTCATTCACTAATGAAACATGTACTACATATAACTTGATCTAATATTTACCAAAGTGAAAAGTCCAGAGTATAGCTACCATTGCTGCTAAGTTATCAACTATAGCCAGAATTTATGACAAATGAACCAGTTATCTTCTTCAATACCTAGTCTTCCCATTAAAACTTTAAATTAGGACATTGAAATTCAATTATGCTTCTTCTTGCAAGATTTCGGTCTCTTATTTCTTAAGATATCAAGACTGAAGTATAATACAACATATTCAGACTTTCAAATTATCGGTAAAATATCAAATGGCAAGAAGTAACAATTTTTCCATAATTATGCCATTGCTAACCAATATTTCAAAGCCGGCACCAATAAACGATGCTAAAAAACTGAGCAAATTGGGAAAACTAGAACAACACAGTAAGTTCTTTCCAAGTGTGAGTCTTCGACTCACTTTTATCAAATGCAATTTCCTTAAATAAAAGCACAGAAGATCTTCACACTGATACATACTCTAATTAACAACTGTACTGAGAAGCAACAGTAAAGCCTTCCCTATGAAGAAAACCAGATTTTTCTTGACCAGTAAGAATTCCAGATCACTTTGTACAAGCCCCCAGAGAATTATGATGTTAGATTTCTATTTCCAGTACTAACGCGTCCTAATAGATCAATATTCACAACAAAGATCTTTGTTAAGAACAACTATAAACAGTGTATTCCTTACTCTGTCTCCTTTTCAACTCCTTAAAAGGACCTCACCCCCAGTATTTATTCATAAGGACAAAGAAGCCTTTAGACTCTGCTGGTATCACTTCTATGCCTAATATTTATGCTTTTACACACTTAACAGCAGACACGAAACAAAAGCCACGCCAAAACTAGCCTATAACTTCATCCTACTCCAGTTGATTATTTACTTGAATTGTGCACACTTTGTGGGGATACAGCTTCTCTAGTATCCAGGATGCAAGCAAGTTTGAGTGCATTCTCCTAATGCAGGAAATGGCTTCAATACTTAGTTGAAAAAGGTAAGCAAACATAACACTTTCAAATGACTTCTTATTCTTTATTCCTAGTGGTAAAGCAACTACATTTTAAACCAAGCAGTAGTCTTTAGCTATCTTCCTATTTCAAACCCCTTAGCACACAGATCAGGCACTTGAGCATTCTAGTTTACCATACGCTGAGCTCAGACACTAAGCCTGCGTTCTCCTTCCTAACTCCCTCTCCTTCTGTAAACTCAACCTGAGTGCTGAAGAACCTTATTTCCTGTAAAGTGCTTCAGCACTCTAGCAGAACTCCATCCTCCACTAAGATACTTCCTCACAAAACTAATTTTCATGGAATAAATCAAAACAGAAATCTAAGCATTACTTACTGAATTACATTCCAGTTGAAAAACAGGTATTCTATTTCTCAGTGTAAACACAACTTGAACACAGGTATTAAAAAACCATTTTCAACATCCTAAAGACACTCCTATTTGATGATGTTGCTTCTTTTCCCATATCTCTCAAAATAATTTAGCTTGTTCCAGGTAGGATATTACAGTTCTGTATTCTGTCCTGAGTTTGTGTCCTATTTGACTATTACATCATCCTTAAATCAAAAGATACATATTTTTTAAATTTTAGTTGTACAACATAGTCTAGTAAGTATCATATTTTAGATGTTCTTACAAACATGTGAAAGTGTACCATAGCAAAAGAATGTTTCTATGAAGCAAAAAAGCCTTTGCATATCTCACCACCATTAAGTACAGTATTAATTCCATACTCAGATTCTTACTCATTAAATTAATTTTGGTGAAATATTTCAGAATACAGGAATGGATCCAATTATTTTAAAAATACCAGGCCTTTCATCCTTACACCATAAAACAACAATTCATGCACTGCTGGTGTGTTGGTTCTCCAGCAAAACTCTGCCACCTCCATATTGCTTAAATATGGATTAGAAGTTGTGGAGTAATTTGGATAAAATAATTGATCAGTGACAACAGATAATCTCTCTCTAATTATACTACATTAGAGAAAGTAAGGCATAGCCACAATATAGATAGTTCAGAATACTGTTAGCCATTTGTTTATCTTTTCCTTTGGAAAATGAATGAAGACAAGTTATTTCTGGTTTAAAATGAAAAAAAAAAATCTGTTTGCTGTAGCATTCCAGTGTGTTTGGACAACTATGAAATAATTTAAAACTCTTTAATTTTAATACATCCCATGTTTTTCTAGACTCCACAGCATTCATAAAGACATAAGGATGGCATCCAAGTACTGTGCAACTTAGTACTCTTGGGAGCAAGTGACTTCTGGATGACACACAGTGAAGAAATCAACCCACCACACTGGTTACTTGCTGTGACCGCTTTTTTGCTTGTTGTTCCCCACACTGAGAGCAAAACGAGGTACAACAGAAGAACGGGCAAGACTGATTTAACTCACATAATATTTACCTGTTTCAACTGGCCATTTAGAGCTTCTAGTTGTTCATATTTATATCACTTACGAAACAGTAGTTACTACCCCTTGCAAAACTCCTTCAGAACACAAAGCTGAAACAAGTTGTCAAGACAAATATCTACTTCAATTTTTATAGATGCCTAAGCTACAGAAGCTACAGCTACCAGAGAACTTCAAAGTTTACGCCCTTACAGCATCCCTCCCCCCAAAATCATTCTAGACATTCAGATACCATGTACAAAAATAACCAGCTGCAAGTCTGGTAGCAAAATCTAAGAAACACACTGCAAACTTCATTCCTTTGATAGTCACATCAATATTTATAATAAATTAATAACAAAACCTACTACAGTCGTGCCACCCGCTTTTTAACAGCTAAGGATAAAATAAACGCCAGACTGAAAACCTGATGGAGCACATCCAGATGATTTTGATATATTAAAAAAGTCACAAATACCTTCTGTAAGTGTATATTGAAACCATCATCTTTTGAAGTTTCAGGTGATGTTGAAACTCTTTACTTAGAGATCACAACATGGCAGCATATATACACAAAAAGCAAGGGAAGTATTTCCTTATTCTGAAGGGAAGCAGTACTATAGTTTGACACTGCCATCATAGAATGTTTTTTGCCTGTTCTTTTCACATCTGTGAGCTCAGCATAGTGCCTCACAAGGATTTAGAAGTAGATTTCAATGCTACCAACCCCATGCAAACTCCAAGCCTCAAGTCATATTCATTCTCCTGTTCCTTAATTTATCAGTAAAATACAAGGCTTGAGAACCAGAGGTGAATACTACAGTCAGTACCCTACAGATACATTGAAAATTCAAGTATTTTTTGACAGATCACTTTCAAGACAATTCTAAACACTTACTCAAGGGCTTGTCTGCCATACCTATTTTTTACCCTTAATTCTGATGAAAACTTCCTGGCAAAGACCCACTATCATGCCTTCCGTCCCTGCCTGCCCAAAATTTTGCACGTTACGCACACTTTGTAATCAATACATTTGAAAGGTGATGAAAGAAAACCTTGGTAAGAGATTTTCATTTACCTACACAAAAGGAAGTTCATAACTGTTTGACTGGAACCAAAACTAATATATATGGGAGTTATGCAACAACAATTATCAAAATCTGCTGAAGAAAATACTATAAAAATTTCTGAGATGGATGGCTTCACATGAATAGAAATGAGGGAGATTTTCTTACTTTTACAGCGTTTAACATAAGAACTCCATCATATATTAAAAGGCTCATTTTGCAGTCTTGGGCACTACAAATACATGGTCCCTCTGGCAAATAGGAACTTTCACTCCTCCCGAATATCCCCAAGACAGAGCAGCTCCATGCTGAAATGCCAGAACACAAAGCTTGGACGATATTATTAGCAAAGTACTCCTGCTAATCCTACCAACTAATTTACCAGATGTTGGGTATTCTCATCGCTCTAGAAGAGAAATTTGTATGCTGCAAGAGAGTCTGAGTTTTATTTGTGAAAGAGAAGAGTCCTACAAACAAAGATCACATACAAATCTTATTATATTTGAATCTGTGTGCAAAATACCAACAGCCCTAGCCAATACCTACAAATTCACAATTTGATGGCATAATTCAGTCACATAAGCTTTCAGATCAGTGCCTATTTTCAACTACAACACAACTAGCACAAAAGTATCAAAGTGACACTGCTGGCAAAACCCAGTCTACTGAAGAGATTAAGAGACCAAGCACTGTTCCTACAACTAATATGATTAATTGCATTATCAAATACAAAGGCCACAACAGAAAAATTCACGTTAAATTTAAAACTGAAACATTTCACCACATTTATATTTCATAGCAAACAACAGTGTTTCTTACCATGAACACGCTGTTGTATCAATTTCTAATAAACTTTTTCACACTTCTTTAACAGAGATCATACAATGCTGAGGTTGCAACCATTATCTGTCTACTTTTATTTCTTTATACTAGACTACCTTGAATATTTTTAAAAAGCAGTAACTAAAAAGCCTGATTATTAGTCACTCCTACTAACCAAGTCTGCTGTTTTTCCTTTCCAGGTCCAGCAGAACTAGGGTGGTACCTTACTACAGGGTTCAAGACAGTAATATGGACAACTAGCAAAACAAGTGTCACACACAAGCCAGTTTATACTGAAACATAATGAGACAGTAAGTTAAACGAGTGAATCAACACAATCGCTGCAAAAAGTCATAGCCTTCCCATTAAAGGTAACAGGAAGCTCATAAGCTCATCTGAATGATGAATGGTACCACCTGCTTTCAGGTAAACTGGTTTATCATACAGGAAATGTAAGTAACAATGATGACTACAATACCATTGTCTCTAGCCACCTCATTCCAGCCAACATCTACCTTTTCCTGATATTTCTTATGGAAGAACAATACATACATGCAATCTAGCCTGACTGTAACTCTGACAAGTCACTATGAAACCAGAAAAGAAGACGTAAATGCCATGCTTTTTACTTGGCCTGAACATTACATGGAAGAAGCTGATTAATTTCAGCTGCTTAATTAGCTGTTCAGCCTCTCTTTTTCACCCCCAAGCTCTGAAAGAGGCGTAAGGTAGAAAAAACAAGTCACCAAAAATGCTGAGAGAACAGCCTTTTATGGCCCTGTTGTTTGGAACATTTTGATAGCTCTTAAGCCATTTAGCTCTCCTCTAAAAGATAAAAAGGCATGGGTTTGTTTCTCCACCATACTCTGGCTTTACATCTAGTTCCAATTGAGCGTGCTGTAGAACATACTAGTATACCAGGCCTGTCGTGATTCCCCCGATACCGATGCGTTGTCGGGAGTATTTCTACTTCCCACCTAATTCACCGTCCCTCCTCCAGCCGCAAGCGAAAGGGAAAGCGCGGGGCATATCACCCAACCTCCCCTTTCGTATCTCACAAGCAACTCGAGGGCAACAACCCTCACCGCCAGCCCCGGACAGCGATACCTCCCCGCAGGAGCGCTCGCAGGCCAGGCAGGATACCCGCTCCCGCGGGCCCAGCCTCTATAGCCCCCGCCGCCACCTCCCCTCCCCCGCGGCTGCCTTCCAGGCACAGGAATAAGGGGAAGTGGGAAAACCAGGGGCGCCATTTTGAGCCGGGAAGGGAGCGACCCGCCTCTCCTCCCCGCACGCCGGGCCGCCCCCTCGGCCGCCCGCACCGCGGCACGGCGTCCCCGCAGGGACCAGGGAGGAGTCCCGCACAACAGGCGCCCCCCGCCCCTCTCCCGCCGCCGGGGCCCCCCCGCGCCGCCGCCTCCTCACCTGGTCGGGGCGAGGGCCGGGGCGGCGGCGCAGCGATGTCCGTGGGGGCTGGCGGGCGCTGCGGGCAGGGTGTGCGAAGGAGGGGGAGAGGGGAGGCGGCTCCCGTCTGGGGGCGAGGGGCGGGGGCGCGGCCGAGCTGTCCCAGCCGAGCTGTCCCGGCCCCGCCGCCACTTCCGCCGCCGCCGCCCCGACCCAAACACGCTCGCACCCGCGCACACGCACTTCCGCCGCCGCCGCCACGTCACGGCCCGCAGGCGCCCTGCCCTTCCGGTCCGCCCGCGCCGTCACGTGGCTCCTCTTTCTTCCCCACCTTTCCCCGCCTCCTTTTGTTCCCGATCCCCCGCCTTTCCCGCACCGCCCCTGCCCGGCCGCGCCCAAGGCATCGGAGCTTACGCTCCTTGTCAGGGTGTACCGTGTCTCCTACTTACCCCCGCACCCAGAGGAAGAGTCTCTGCGAGCGACCCGAGCATCTTCCCATCGTCTTCCATTTCCTGTGAGGGTGGTGAGGCACTGGAACAGGTTGCCCAGAGAAGTGGATACCCCCATCCCTGGAACTGTTCAAGGCCAGGTTGGATGGGGCTCTGAGCAACCTGGTTTAGTGGAAAGTGTCCCTGTCCATGGCAGGGGGATTGGAACAGGATGATCTTCAAGGTCCCTTCCAACCCAGGCCATTCTATGATTCCATGCCAATCCTATAGAGACTGCGGGGGCAGTGCTGCTGAACTTCCAGGGATGGGCGCTGGGTATGACAAGACAGAAAAGTCCTGGTTTAATTCTCTAAAAGAACCATTTTCCAAAGCTATTATTTCCAAAACTATTCCAAATCAGTTCAAATGAGGAACTACACAGGCAAATCTGAATTGCAGTCAGGAATTTACCTGACTTTGAACAGCCACTGATAAAGCCTTAGAAGCTGACTCATTTTTGACAGAGTGCTAAAAACTTGAGAGGACAAGTTGCTAACACAGAAGAGTCTTGCTTCATAGATGGATATAAATAATGTCTTGATTGCTTCATAGTGTGAAGAATGACCTTGTGAGAGAGAAGGATCAGCTGGTCACAAACTATGAGTGGATTGTATAGGAAACAGAACAGTCAAGACAAAGTGTTTCCGCAGTATAGCAGATTTTACAAGGTCTAATAGTTTGAAGGAAATAAAAAAAAAATACCTGCTAAGATGTTTAATAAGCTTATCAATAATGTTATTTAGTAACTGGTACAATTTAATGAAGTTTGTTTAGATACTCCATCACAGGAGATACTGAATCGAGATTTGATATTGCTGTATTCTCAAAATAAGTTTTGGCTCAACCACATGTGTTTAAATGAAACAAAAATTATGTTATGGAAGGCCTGTGGTCAGTGTTGTGCTAGAAGTGAGGCTCCATAATGCTGTTCATTCATAAAATATGACTTTATTGTTAGTTGTCCAGTCAGTTCTCTTGCCAATGCAGCTTTATCTCCTCCTATTGTTGTTGGTACTTTAGAAATATGCTGATTACAGAGGAGAAAGGTTAAATCAAACATATAACAGCTTTTTTTTTTTTTAATAATCCCCATTCTTTAGTGCTGCTTTAGAAATATTTTTCTGCTTGTAAAATATTATAGCAAATGGCCTTTTAGAATGAGAGAGAAAACAACAAATCTCATATCTGTCTGCTTTTGTGTTTTCCATTTTTTTGTGTTTTTTTTAATCTTCCCTAATATGGACATATCGATACTTTAACATACTGAAGTAGGTTTTACTGGAGTAACAACAGATTTTTTCTTTTCATCTTCAACAGTTCTTCTTTTCCATATACTTTTCCCTCGGTACCAGTTTGGTCTCAGATCAATAATTTCTCCATTTTGCTTTACTTAGTTGAAGTTCATCAGTTACATAAATGTTTTTGTAAAGCAAATATGTGACTTCAAAAAAGTAAAAGTGTCCTTGTGTTCACCAGTGATGTAGAATGCCAGCCTACTTCCACAGAAACATGTTTGAAAGTGCAAGTCTTCTGAGCTGTGAGTTTGCTGAATGTAAGAGCTGTCCATTAAATCAGGTAATCCTGCCCTGATGTACTGCCTACTTGTCATAACCCTCTGACTGGGTTCGTTCTGTTCAACTGGACTGCAGAATTTGGTGAGCAAAACATCAGGATCCTGATAAACAGATGTTTTTTACTGTATACATTAGGAGCATACATTCAGGCACCAGCCAGCATCCAGCCAACCTGGCAGCTGCTTGCTCACTCACTCACTTCCCTGCAGTAGGACAGAGGACAGAAGAGGAGGAACAAAAGCAAGACAACTTGTGAGTCAAGATAATGATAGTTTAATAGATGAAGGAAAGAGGGAGGGAAAAGGCAATTCAAAGGAAATCACTGACTACCTCCCATAAACAGACCAAGGTCCAACCTGTCTCGAAGCAGCAGCTTCCAACTTGGAAGACATCTTCTTCTACCTCTAATTTCTATTGCTGAGCATGATCCTGTGTGATATGGAATATCCCTTTCATTAATTTGGTTCGGCTGTCCTGGCTGTATTCCACTCCCAAGTTTCTTGCCCCTCTCCAGCATACCTTCTGGGGGAAAAAGAGAAAGTCCTGACGCTGTGCAAGCACTGCTCAGCAGTAGCTGAAGTATTGCTGTGCTATCCACACGAGTTTAGTCACAAATGCAAAGCACCATTCAGGCTGCTGTGAAGAAAATTAACTCCATCCCAGCCAGACACAGTACATACATGAACAGTTTCAGATGAAAAAAATTAAAATATCAAAAATGAAAATATCAAGTCATTAATAGAATAACTTGAACTAAATTCAATTCAGAGATTAAATGCTTATGTCATACATGACATCTAATGTTTCACGTAATCTTCTCAAATGAAGAACTGCTGATGGAAGGTATGATCCAAGTCCATTTCTGTTTCCAGCTGCAAACTTAAACCTCTAGAGTAAGTTGTGATATTGTATAGCTGCAGAGTGAGTTGGATCAACCAATGATGTTATGCAAAAATTATTCACCAAAGGACATAACTTTGTAGTCTGAACACAGCAGATTGAACTATCTCTGCTGTGGCTGCAGGCTCTCTAGATCTGGTGCACGTGAGAGTAAAGGAGCACGAGTTCAGAGAAGACAATGGGCCAAGACCCTCCTGTTTGGCAGTAAGCCTTAGTTAGGTGCAACATGAAACCACACATTCAGTTTACACAACAAGAATGAGAGAAAATACAGAACATAATGCCCATAATGTTCAGGAAACAAGAACCAAAATATGCCATATATAGGGATCATATTCTATGCTTCTAATATAAATAGATAAATGCTTTCTAGAATTGGAATAATCTTTCAGATTGTCAGATGTACCTGAAGTTCAAAGCTGACTCAAATTTTTGATGCAGGAATTCTGTTCATGTAATATAATTGCACTAACAAAAAGGCAGCAAAAGGGGTAACATATTACTTTTGCAGGAGAGATTAGAGAATTTTTCAAAATGCTTTGAGCAGACTTCAGAAGTGCTGCAGTAGGCCATTTTGCTGAAACTGCTAGCATGAATGGAAATCTCATATGCTTTTTGTCTGTTAACTACGTAGGAAGTCCGTGTTTTGGATTGTGGGATGGATGCACTCTGAAACTGGGATCACACAACAGCAGAGCTACAATACTGGTGTGCTGTTAGGAAGCCTGTGTTACCTGCAGGAGGTTCCTACTGGCTGACTAACTCCCTGACCACAACAGTCATGACACAGTGTGTCTCTCTTGCTTTGTGAAGCTCCCAAATTGTTCACAGCTGGTTGACGCTGACAGAGAGGGTCAGCAAACAGCAAAGATGCATTGTGAATGTGTGAAATAGAGGCAAGAGAACGTGTGGCAGTAATCAAATGACCGAGTTCCCACTAGTGTATTTTGGGCTTGACAGGTCTCTGTGAATGCTAGTGGTGAAGATGACCTTCTGCAGTAGCCTGGAAAACCAGATGTTTAAGGAAAATGCTGAAATCACACAGATAGCCCTACCAGTGATCATGTGTTCATATTTTATTTCATCGTGGGTCATATGGCAAATACCAAAAGTGAAACTGTGCTCAATGATATTAACACATTTGTGTAAGTGGGTCATGATTTCACCAGATGGATTTCCACCCATTTTAGCATTACTCTGCAGAGTTCTTTGCTCAGCCTTTTTGTGTTTCAATCCAGTGCTAGATGTGTAATTATAATGGAAGTTGACTTTAGAGATGATGTGCAGAATCTCTTTAGTCTGTTTGAACTTCCTAATTTTTTTCATGTGTCCATCTGCTATAATATCTTTTTTTGTCTTCTATCTCTGCTTGTGTACGTTTTTTCTGTACCTACATTGGTTTCATCATATCATAGCTTATGAAATGTGTGCAGCACATAGAAAGGAGTAGTTTACTATCTGTAAATGAGTTCAATAAAAACCATGAAAGTAACCAGGCAATAACAACAGCAAAATGCATCGGCATATCTGATGTCCTTTAGGTGTTTCACAAAATTTGCACTGTTTTACATGGACTTCCCTGACCTTCAGAGACCTTAAGGAATTTACAAAGTTAGTGCTTTGACTGCCATCTGTGCCAGCACCATAGTCAGAGTGAGAACTGTGTTGCAGAACATGGAGTGTTTGTGCTTCATAAAGAAAGCAAAATGCAGGGTTTTAGGCCGTTTCCATTCCTCAGTTTTAGCCTAAACAAGACAGAAGAAGGTGCTAGACTGTGGGAATTGGATGTCAGCAAATAATGATATGTCAAGTACTGTTGAGGAAAAAAATGCTCCTGTAGAATGGAAAATTTTATTCAACTTTTTCCAAACAGATTTCTCTAGAGATCCTACTTTTTTAACATAGGAGATGACAAATTCATGCTGAATTAAAAAGAGTTTTGATCTTTTTTTTTTTCCTAAAATTGAGTTCAACTGGTTTTTGTTAATTCATGAGCTTATCTTTAAAATTTACAGATCCTTTCCACACTATGCATATTCTTCCTGTGGATGAAATAACTTTCAGTATAAGAAGGAATGAATATGACATTGATTCCTAAAATGAGAAGAATTATAGGAAAGAATGTATGTTGTTAGTAGGTTTCAAATTGATTTAAAGGGATCTTTATTTCTGCTGAAGAGAAAACAACCACAGAGAGGCAAAAAGAGAAGGATGAGGACTTCTGCTCTACTTGTTTTGGCAAGAGGCATTCTTTTTACATGGCCAGGTCCTATTTTTCTTCCTTTGACACAGCCTGCTCCATCAGGTCTGAGTGGACTCTTTCAATTAGCAAGTGTGGCCACCTATCGGGGAAAAAACAATGTAAAAATAAATCAGCAAGGTACAGAATGTACAAAAAATGGTAATACTTTGAGCACAGATAGAGAGCCATCTAGAAATACAACAAACACAAGGATAAAAATTGAAGTGCCCTATTATTACTGTCTACTTAGTGCATTCCTGTATTTTGCTCTTCCTCTGTATAAATATTCCCTCTTCTTCTGACAGCTTTATCCTTACCCAGGTACTTCTCTCAATAAGATCAAATTCCTCCCAGATTTCTAATACATCCAGTTTTGTTCAAATCACTATTTAGCCTTTACTAGATAAAAAATTGCACCTTACAGATCACAAGGCAAGGCATAACCAATCATTTTATTTATTAAACTAACAACTATTTTGCAGGAGCACTCTAAACTTTAAGTAACAACAAATGTGATTGCAATAGGAAATGAACTGAACACATTAAGAATTTAAAAGAGCTTCTTTAGTTCCCAAGTGGTCACAGATGTTCTGTATTAGGAGCGTGGTACAGCCATATCTACAGCAGAAAAACACATCTGCTTTTGAAAAAGGGCACTAACATGGCCACAGCTAGATCACAGCTGATGCTAACATGATGCTTCTTGCCGGAGAAGACTAAGCTAGGTTCACACGTGCTGGAATTTAGCTGATCATAGCACTGATGTGTACTGTCAATGACTTCGACAGCCGGAGCAGGTTGTCAGGCACCCCTAGTGCCTGGGGAGCCGGTCATCAGGGAGCAATTGCTTCCTGAGTCTCTCATCTTCCATTTATAGGTAAGGGTCCTGAGAATTCAGTTTTAATTTAGCGACCTTCATTTAAAATCCTTATCAAACAAATGTTAGAGCAGAGACTAAAATGGTAACAGCTGGTAATGTTTGTTGATTAATTACGATTGTGGTCTGTATGTTTATCTAAAATTGGTTTTGTCATCGTAGGACTATAGAGAATGCAGCAGGATGTGATTAAATTTTTATGTTTTGCTGGGAGGAAGCGGAGAGTTTGCTGAATGTCATCTGAGAATAAAAGTCTTTGTGAGAGCTGAAGGTCTGTTAAACAGCAGTGAGACTTGTTCAGTCTTACCCATGCTGCTTTTCTGAAATAACCGGCATCTGCTTCTGAAAGGCAAATACAGTGGTTTAGATATACGGGGTGTTAACTCATTTAAGACAAACATTAAGAGCACTCATAGGGGTAATGTTGTCACCCACCTCTGTGCTGTGTGGATGGGAGTTGCAGTTTCCTCTAGAGGAACAGTCTCAGCATACAACATTTGTGAAAGGGGCTGTAGTTTTTATTACAGTAATAAAGATTTAAAGTTTGATCAGACTTTTGACCACGTAAGACCTCATTTCAACCCTAAGAAGACTCAACGTACCTGTCTGAAACCCGGTAGATTTTCAAGGACTGGTCTAAGAAATGTGCTACCTCTGTGGTTACGCCTTATTTTTTTTTTTCTTCATGACAGTTACAAGATAGCCCGAATGCAATTGATTTCCTGACTTTCTCCCAGGAGTGGCAGATGCGGGGGGATGGTGTGGGTTCTGAGGGCAATGGCGGAGCGCTGTGAGGGAGGCGGACGGTGGGCGCTGGGTGCGAGGGCGATGGCGGGGCGCTGTGAGGGGAAGGACGGTGGGCGCTGGGTGCGAGGGCGATGGCGGGGCGCTGTGAGGGGAAGGACGGTGGGCGCTGGGTGCGAGGGCGATGGCGGGGCGCTGCGAGGGGAAGGACGGTGGGCGCTGGGTGCGAGGGCGATGGCGGGGCGCTGTGAGGGGCGGCCGCGCCGCCCGCCTCGCACGAGCGCTCCCGTCGCTGCCGCCGCCGTCGCCGTTGCCGAGCGGGCGGGGGGAGCGGCCGCCATGGAGGGGCAGCCGCCGCCCTGCCCCGCGGGGACGGAGCCCGAGGGGACGGACCCCGACGGGACTCCCGAGCAGCCGGACGTGAGTGCCTTCGCCGAAGGGGTCCCACTGCTGCCGCGGAGCCGCCCGCCCCTCTGCCGGGTCTCGCCCAGAAGGGGCTGGAAGAGGGGCAGCGTGTGAAACTGGCAGGCGCATCTCCGTGCGAGCTCTCTCTCTCCCCCCAAAAGTGCGCGCAGCCCACACTAGTTGTGTGCATTATTACAGTGAGCTTGGTTATGCCTTTTTTTTTTTTTTTGATTGCATTGTTTAGGCTGGGAAGTTGCGTCCTGCTTATGGCACGGTTGCGAGCTGCCTCACCGAGGTGTTACCCAGGGTGAGTTGGTTTTGCAGACGCTCCTTGTGAAACTTTTGTAATGATTTCCCGTTAGCGAATGTGCTTTGAGACAAGCCCTGGAAAAAAAAAAATCAGTGAAGCTTTGTTGATTTTTTTCTACATCTCTTCTCTTTAGAAAGTACTATTTTTTGTTTTCAGTGTTAGTTTTTGTCACGTGGGATCATAAAGAGTAGCTGACAGGATTCAAAACGCTTCTGGCAGATCTTTTTCACTTCACCTGTTTTATAAAAGTCACCATGTATGCTTAGTTAGGACTGAATAGAATTATTTAGACAGTTTTTTCCTATGGTAACACAATTGTAGTAATTATTATTGGAATTAATATGTCTTCTGATGGAGGTCCTTCTTCTTGACAAGGATGCCCCTCAGAATTGTGATTCCTACTGGCCCTTCCCCATGCCCCTGAAGAGTCAGAGGGTACTGAGACACAAACGGATCCCATAAATACAGTTCTCCCTTTAAATGATAATTTTAAAAAAACCGGACTCTGGTTTAAATGATTTTCAAAATTGTTTCATTCATGGTGGAGTTGTGAATTTGGTTCAAGGTTTCTGAAATTGATGAGTGTAACATCCATTTTTCATAAAGAACATGTGAAGTAGCAGTTACCCAAATCAAAGATGAGAAGAGTTGAAACTTAGCAATGCTGGTTTGATAAAATTTAAGCTGGGTTATGTTGACCTTAGACTCACAATATCAGCATCTGCAGGAGCATATGCATGTGTTATGGCCCTAAAGCATCCTCGTATTTTGTTCTTACCTCTGTGAAATCAGACTGAAATATTTAATGAAAATTTTCTTTTCATTAATGTTTTGTGAATACCTGGTGTAAAATTGTTTTTGCTTTGCCTTATATATAGCCCGTTACTCCAACTACTGTGCGAAAGTTTCGAAATACAACAGATCCAGCTCCTGGTGCTAAAGTAATATTCTACGGCACAGCAGATGATCCCGACATTGCAACTCACTTGACACATGGCATAAAGTCACGTTCCTCATTCAGTGTAAGAATGTGACTCTTTTACTTTTGTTTAAGAATGAACCCCTTAAGAGTGTTCTTAATAACAGCAGCTTATTTCTTCATAGTCAGGGATAAAGGTACATAGCTGAGTGATTTATAGTGCAGTATGTCACAGCTGTTGTGAATTACCTGAATTCTGAGGTCAAATCAGGATTTATTTAGCATGATTGAAATTGGAAAACACTTGAAGTTCAGTGACTTTTATCAGTGACTTAATTTTTGTAGTGACTACTGAATTATTAATTTCATTTTAAGATTTAAGTTAATGAACAGTCTTCTATCCACAAATTTTGCTGCTTTCTTCTTATGGATTACAGAGATAAAAGCAGTTGAGTTCTTATCAGGAAAACTGCTGAGAACATGCTTATGGTTTGGTGTAATTATTATGTATTTTTTCTTACCTTTGGGTTGAAGCTGATTTTGTTAGCTAAAAAGTGGTGGTTTGGGCATGTCAGACTATTCTGTGTGTATTCTTCAGAAATTATTTTTGTAATCTGCAATCAAACAACTGAAGAGATCTTAGTGATTTTATCACATGTCTAAAAATAACAGTTGTGTTAGTAAAAATGCACTTTTATGAAGGAAGTAGGGCCTGACATTAGAGGATGTTGAGTAGGACATTTATTAGACATATCCAAAATGAAAGACAACCAGGTTTTGCTGTCCCTCCCCACAAGTTTTATGATGAATGGATTGATTTGTTTAGCCTGTACTGTCTTTGAAGACTTCGCATTATTAATCAAATATTAACTGGAGGAAGAGTTGTAACCCTAATGAGTTTGTGAAGCGTGGGTTTGGATCAATTGTATTTGCTACTACTTTTTTCAGTATTTCTTTATGTAACATTCAATGAGAGTCTAATCGTAAACCTTCTCTAGAGTCCTCGTTTCTTTGATGGGCAGCCTGAAAAAGCAAATCACTTAAGTTTTGGTCATACTGTAATTTGACTCTAGTTCCTAATATGTGCTAAGAAAAGAAAGGTTGCAGTCAGAAAATGTATAAATTAACAAGTGGAAAACTAGCATTAAAAAAAAAAGTTCTGTGTCATAATAAGTATTTTATTTAGCTGGAGGTTTAGCGTAGCACTGGTTATTAGTGGCCTTCTCTCAAGCTACAGTTTCGGTTTGCAACTTGGTGGTTAAAATCATATCAGTGTAACCATATAAGATCTCATTAAAACACTTCTGAGCAAGCTTTTGTTCTTGTATATGTGTGTAGGTAGTCATACTGATGTGTGAATGATGTTATTTTGCTGGTTTTCCTGCCTCTTGTGTTGTTTGTGATGTCTTTAGGTAGCTTCGTTGATAAGTCCAATTCCTAAAACTGTTTTTCAAGAAAAGGTACAAGACATGAAAGAAACAATCTACTATAGTAGTCGTGAAGAACGTTTGGGTAGAACACATGATCAATCTTCTATGTTACCTGAGGGCTTGGATATAATTAATACTACATTTGGAAAAAAAACCATCAAAGGTGGGAAAATTTACCATTAAAATATATTTCTTGTAAATACAAGATAATCTGCAGTTTAGTATCTAGCACATGCTCTATGCTTCCAACAATTCCATTTTAACAGAAAAATTGTTATAACAGTTACTGAGAGGCCTAAAACTGTATTTTTCAGTTATAGTGAAGAAACAAGCACCCAAGAACATATGGTAACTGGTGGGGCCTTTAGCTGTGTTCCTGATTCGTGTGTATAGATTTCCCTGGAGAACTATTTAGGTAGCTGTCAACTTACTTTCCTTTTCCCAACAATTTTAATAGTCTAATGAAAGAAACTTCCTTGACCTGTCCATCTTTCCTCCATAGACTGGAGGAAATCGCATATGTGTTGCCCATGAAGCTCTCTTGAAAAGGTTCATTTTGATTTCTGTGATTTTTTTTTTTTCCCTAGTCCCATGTCATGTTAGATTAACTATAGACTGACTATAGATTGCCTAGAAATGTGGTAAGAACTATCATTCTTCCACGGTATTAGCAATTTCTTTAACAAGATACTGTTTAAAATTGGGAACCAACCAAACAAAACACCCACCCCCTTATCTCCCCCAACCATACATTCATTTCCAGATATACCAGCTGGACTGCTTGTAAATCCACCAAAAACCTTTGAGGAAGTGGATAAAGAAGCCAGAGAAGGACATGATTTGTATGTTGTGTCACATGAGGCTTATGACGTGGGTAAGTTCAGAGGCTAATAAGAAACCCCATAAAAAATTCCTCTACATGTGTTCAACACATACTGTATGCTATTTTTTGAGATGTAAACTATTAATTAAACTATTAATACAATACTTATATTGTATTAATACAATATAAGTTGTTTTTAAAAGTAATTATGTGAAAAAATATGCATCCAAGAGAGCATGATCTGTTTCTAGAACAGTGTTTCACTTCATGGTGGGCGTTTTAAAGGGTGTAAGAGCTTAATGAAGGATTTGGAAGCCTGATTTCTTTTGGGTGCTCTTTGAAAAGAAGAATATTTCCAATTAACTAGAAACTCATAGATGGCCTGGTTGCCTACTGAGTTTGACACTGTCTATGCCACTGAAGGCAGTCTTGTCCGTAAAGCCACAGACTGTGAGCCCAACACATTCCAGTACTTTCAGCTTTAGTTGGTCTCTTTTGTCAGGATCCAAATAGAATTTCAGAGCAGCCAGACTTTCTAATGAGGAGCTCACCATCAAGCTAATTCCAAAAATTTCAGGCTGCTGGGTGGCTCTCTGGAATGCAGCCTGCAGGATCCTGCCTGTGAGTCCATCTCACAGCCTCTGTCTCTGCCCTTCCAGTGGGCTGTGGCTCCACTGCTTCAGCCTCTGGGGGCTGTACTTGTGTGATGTGATCTGTTCAGGGGCGGTTACCCTTTATTTCACAGGTCTGCACAGGAAGAGAGAGACAGACAGGACTCTAAAACACAGCACATGTATTACTTTTGCAGCCACTTCTATTTTTCCCAGTTCCATCATTTCCACTTAGGCCAAAAGACTTAAATTGCTGGTCTGTAAGATTACTATTATAATAAAGTTGCTGCTTCTGCTAGTAGCCAGAGTTTTGTAGGTGCAGGCCAAACATGTAAGAAACTGCAATACAGATCTTTCAATTGTAATAATGTAAATTTTATGTGGAGACAGTTATGTAGAGGTGAAATTATAGTACCGTTGTCTTACTGAGAAATTCTACTACAAGTAGTATTGATATAAATTGGCCAAACTTGTAATTTTATTTCCCTTCTCCCCTGCCTTTCTCAGGTGTTTTGGTTGAATTATTCATTACCTGTCTCTGTCTCCTTTGTAACTTCCATCCACAAGAGCATGGAGAGACCAAGACAGAAACAGAAAGACAGAAAAAAAAGTCAACTATGTGCCCCAGCAATAACATAAAAATTCTATGCTACCATACAGCCAGATTAAGCCCTTATTAGAAAGCATTCAGTGAATTATATTTTTGAAAGTTCTAACCATCATTCTTTTCAAAAAGTGATTGAAAAGACCTTGAAGAAACAGAATGATAGTTTTTTCTGTGACAAAAAGATGTAGCAAGAGTATATCTGAAAGTGCAGCACCTCAAAAACACTTTTTGCCTTTCTCATTTTTAAAAAAACAAACAGTAAATCAAATAGAACACATCTCTGCTTAGGTACAGACATTATAAAGTGATTTGTTTGCATGACCTTCCCCACTTAGGCTACCTGGTTTCATTTATTCTGTTGGGGTTGTCTTTAGTCAGACATAAAAGAATATCCAACTATTCTACCACTGAAGTAGTTTCTGCTTTTTATTTTGCCTTTTATCTTCACTTTTGACAATGAGATTATTCCTAACTACACAATAAACATAAATTATCTTTAATTGAACATGTTTGTTATTTATTTGATTTTGTTTCTTCATTGTTTTGTCTGAAGAGTGAAGGTACTTGGTGTATTTTTCTTCCTGAGGTGTTTTATATAGGTTGATATGCTTACTACTTCTGCAGGGGAAGCAGTCAATAGGAAGTATAACTCACACTTCAACAAGTCTTTTGTATATGGAATGGAAACCCCTCGCTTTGAAGACGGGCGAAATACAGCCAAGACCTTAAAGTGGGCCTTTGATCTGGAATCGTAAGTTGCAATGAGTTAACTACTAGTGTGAATTTTTCAGAAGAGCAAGTCTTCATTTTTGAAGAAATTGTACATCTCACAATCCCATACTTAGCTGTATTGAACTCTACAGAAAGTGCAAGGTGTGATTTCAGAACTGTTGACCCAAATCACTTCTACCATAGTATAACACCACTTGGCATGTCTCAAGCATTATGTGAAGTCCTTTGATTTTAAATAGGAAAATTTTTCAATTACTGAGTTTGTGTTTGTCTTACAGAGGAGTTGCTGTTCCCTTTAAACATATAATAACATTTTAAAATATTATTGAAAAATTCTTGAATATTTTTAAACAAATATGTGTAGGAGTTATTTTCATAATTTGTAGGAAGAGAGCAGCTAACCTTGTATTGAAACGAAGTGATGATTTCAAGGAAAAATTTCAGCCTCAGCTTGGAAAAGCCCTTGATCCGTAAGTAAGCAAAGATACCTTCCAAGAACAAATTTATACTAAACAAATTACAAGCACTGTAAGACATTCCCCTCTGTCCCATCTTTTGCAGTTAGAAAGGTCTGAAAGAACTGAAATATCTGGGATTTGACCATTTTGCTTACTCTGACACTATTTCTGGTAATCTTTGATACATCACCTATAATCTCACTTTATTACTGCCTTGGAAAAGGACGTGGAACTAAATTTTGTTATTATTCGGCAGCGCATATCAATCTCAGTTGAATCATTAGAATGCTTCATAAACCACAGGCGATCTGGAACAGCTTTGTAATTTTACAGGGGAATGTTTATGGAGTGCCATAGAAGTCCTAAGGCACAGTGTGGTCAGGATGCAGGCATGCTACAAACCTAGGGCTCCTGAGTGTATACAAAGTCTGTATGCTCTAGATTTCTACGAAATTGTGTCTGAACACAATTGTTGACTTCGGTAGCAAATTTGAATTTTAAACTCAAGATCCCAGGCTTAAGTTAGTCTGGAGAGCTGTGCTCCTAAGTACGTGTAAGGAATGAACACAAATATGAGTCAGTTTCTCGTCTCCCCTTCACTGTGTCCCAGCGTACTGTGAGACAGACCTGAAGCTTGAGCAACATGAGGCAGTATGATCAGTCAGGGATGGGTTGCAGTGCAAGCTCAAACCCAGCACTAGTATTACAAGACAGATACAAGCTAACCTAATCTTATTTAGTGCACTTTACACCACCCGCATCCTATGTGTGGTATGAAAATGATAAAAGAAAAATACACATAATAGTTTTTAGATTACAGTGCTTCCATCTCTGTGTGGGGTTTTTGTTTGTTTGTTTTGTGCTTTAGAACAGTGCACTGATTATCATTTCAATTTTGATGGAGATTTTTGATTAATGTATCAGTTTTTATTATTTAATTATTAAACATAAAATTAACATTGCATCTTTTTCAAATTAAAAAATAAACAAACAGTTCTTTAATGTCACCAACAACATCTTCAATTTCTGGTAAATAATAGTGGACCAAGTTTTCCAGGTGTATATTGAGTTGGTTGCTGGTTTTGGTAGACATAAAATTGCATGTGGAAAAGCAGAGATGTGATTCAGTTTTTCCACTTTAGCCAAAAGTAGTTTATTCAGAGACATTTCAGTTTGCGATCTTATCCTAAACATTCCTATTATTTGTCTATGTTATAAGGACTTTTCTTGCACGTTTCTATCAGTGTCTTAGGAAAAAAAAATAGCATAGAATATTTTTCCCTTTAATGAACATAAATGTCCAAAAGGTTGATGTTTACACTTGGCTGTGTTATATTACAAACAGCAAATGTTCTAATTAGCTTTATAAAGGGATGCTTTTCTGGAATGGTAACTTCGAAACAAAGTACTGATAAAAAATTTCAGATGTATCACATGTATCTTTGTGGGTTATCCTTAATTATATAACATATTATAACTTTTTTAATAGTAGCAGAGGTTTTATTTTGGCTATTAACTGTGTGACAATTAACAAAGAAATGTCTTTACTGACAGCATGGCAGAAACTATGAATGTTCCCCCAGGTCATACATTTGGATTGGTAGTCCCTCCAGATGAATATGGTAAGTTTAAAGGCAGAATAAAATCTTATCTTGCTGATGAGATATGCTGAAGTAAGTGCTGTTGGTTGTGTAGTATATAGTTTTCCTATCTATCTTAGAGGCAAGGTACAAAAATTTATGGATAGTAAATCTTTGGATGGAAAATTTGAGAATTGAAGCTGCTAGTGGGGAAAAAATAAATGTCACAAATAAAGAAACTTTAGTTTTTGAATTATCGTGTTGAGGGTTTTTTTTACTCTTTTAAAGCCTTTGTATCTGAAGGTAACAAAATGGGAAACTGCAGAAAACTGTGACAAATTAAGATGACTACTTAAATCAATGATGCATCTTTCTTCTCAGTGATTTTTTCAGCACTTCTTGAAAAAGAGTAAAAATAACAAGCAATAAATAATAATAAGTTTTTGAAGGTTGCAGGGAGATGGAAAGCAGAGTAAAAATAAAAAACTATGAATTTTCATTATGACAAAATTTTGAAAGCTTGTCAACTCCAATAGTCAGTGTTGGGATTGATGTTGTTTTAACATTGTGTTTAATAACTAGGGAATACAGTCAATAATTAGGAAGCAAAAAATGTAAGTGGCTCAAAGTTATTAAATTAGTCATGACCAGAGAAAGCTTGTTCAAAGAGTGCATAAGCTTTTATACATTTATTATTATGTAGTGTAATAAAGTTAAATATTTTAAATGTGTAGGTATAATTGTCCTATAAGAGCAGAAGGAACTGAACAAAAGAATTTACTATTAACAAGTGGAAAATGATGTACATACATTACTGTTAGAATAGGATTATATGAGCTACTCATGTTTGTTACTGGACTCTGAATGAACTTCTTGCATTCTAGAGAGTGACTTCGGTGTCTTGGAGATTTGGGTTAAGATTGTAGCTCAGTGTGCCAAAGTGTTTAAAAATATTAATAAAGTTAGGATATGTAGAAAATGGGAAAAGTAACATAAAAATAGTACATTTTCTTTCTAGAAACCAGTGATATATAATTATCTGAACTCTTACATTGGGTCTCATAAGTATCTGGAACATGACAGACTGGAAGTGGTAGATTAATAATATATGTTCTTTTATTTCTCAATTATCTGGACATTGAGTAACTCCTACTGCTGTCAGAAGCTTTTGGAAGCAGTGGACAGATTCATGAAGCTACATTATGATGTTTCAAAATTTTTGATATTAACTATGTGAGTAGAGAAATCATTACACGGACCATTGATCTTGTAATGAAATGGCTGTATCACATGTTCAGCAGTGCTGAAAATCAGCCTCTTGAAACTTAAATTCTCCTTTTCCTTAAAAATGCAAGCTTTTTTTTCTTTTTTATGTCTGTTTTCTGTATATGCACAACTAATTGAGGAACTGTTCATTTTTATAGGACTTTATGATCTTCTTCATGACCGTGTCCCATGTGAGTTCCTCCGTGGTAAGAACAGAGAAAAAGCTATCTTGATTGCAGTTCGGCAAAGTTTGAAGAAAGCTAACTATGAGAATTTTGATGTGTTGCTAAAAGCATTCAGACATTATGATAAGGTTAGTGCTCTGAAAAAGTATAAATGTAATGTGTGACATTAGTGCTCCTGTGCTATGGAGATAGAGCCATGAAGAAGCATAAGCATAGCAAGGTAAATATAGGTGAAGAATATAAAGACAAGGTAACTTCATAGTTATTGTGTGTTTAATCTACTGTGATATGCTGTTGAATTAAACACAATAGTATTTGGAGCATTTCACAATAGCACTTGAAAAATCCACGTTAGAGCGAGCAAGGAACGTGTGAGCAGGAGTAATCTTAGCAATTTTTGCACATCAAAATTTGGCATTTCTCCTTGAAGGGAAAGGAGTTTGAAGGGATTATGTTCATATTTTCTTCCAAACTGTACTTTTTGACTGAGTTGCCAGGCATCAGAATTTCAGATCTTTTTTTTTTCTCTCTAGAAAAAAAATATGATTGACATTTCGTATGTAACATTAATTGTAATGTATACAAAGTGATTGGAATGATTGATGTCTTACTTTCAAAGGCGTCTTGGCTTTTCCCCAACATTTATGATTAGATTGTTACCTTGTCACAATACCCTGTCACACTTTTACTCTCAAATCACTATATTATTTAAGTTGAAAATTACTTTTTGACACTTTTATATTCAGATTTCTAATTTCTAAATTACTAAGGGTTTATTTCTCTACTCATCAACGTTACTGTTCTTCAAATGGTGTGTCTGGTGCTATTTGTGTGTAGATATCTCTGTGAACACATGTATGTGTTTCTTTTGGCAGAGTCATTTTATAATGGCAGTTATAGAATCATAGAATTTAACAACTGTTTTATTTTATTTATAATAGAATGGTGATGGAATGATAGACAAGGACAACCTAAGAAAGTCCTGTTTTCAGCTTAATCTGAATCTAGATGATGAGCTCCTGGATTCCTTATTTGACTGCTGTGATTTGGATAAAGATGGTCTGGTTAATTATCTGGAGTTTGCAAACTTTTTGAACTGGAAAGACAAAACAGCTATTAAAGAGTTTGAAGAAAAAATAATTGCTAAAGGTAGATGCCTTAATACTTGGAACTTGTGGGGATGATCTTGTTCTTGGAACAGCTGTTGAGGGGACATTGTGTTGTAAGCTAAGTGCTCCTTTATAAGGGTAGGATTTAGAGAGTGCATTTACCTTGCTCACTATCAGCAGAGCCTCAGGTACAGATGCATTTCAGAACCCTGAAGTTCTTTGTTGCATGTTGAGATTGTCACTGGGAAGCTTCCTTAATACTATAGATTAGGAGAAAGTAAAACATCTCTTTGAATCATTAGCAGAAATGCAGATGAATTATGTTACCTACTTTATAGTTCTTCAAGCAATGTTTTTTACCTCTTAGTCTACAATGTGTTGATAGTATATCCTGGCCGTACCATAACTTCTGTTTATAGGGAAAAAATTAGGTGCCTGTCTTGTTCCTGAAGACACACAGAGAAAAGATGAGCCACAGCCAAAGCAGGAAGCTCTCATGTTAAAAGAACCAGAAAGCTCAGAAAAGACACCAAAAACACCTACAAACCCAACAGACCGTGTATTTGCAAGTTATCAAACAACGTCTTCTCAGTATAATGCTGTAGTAGGTGGTCTCCCACTGTCCTGTAAGTACACTGGGCTGTGCTGCTCACTTCTGGGCATTCCTTAAGACAAAATCAGGAGCAAAGTTTAAAAGTGTTGCTATAGGTTCTACTAAAGTACAATAGTGAATTAATTTATCTAAACTAAGTTTGTTTAAGGTTGTGACTTGGAAGTTGGAATGGTTATTCCATTCAAAACATGAAAGTTAATCTAGATGTCTTTGAGAAATTATGCTAGTAATTCTAGGAGAACCATATCTTCTTGGAAACACCTCAAATACTTTTCAGCAGGAAATACTGGATAAGTAACAGAATATTACTTCAAGATTCCCTGTTTTCATGCTCCATGATGTAGCTGAAGCCAAGATTTCTAAAAATGCAAAAAAAGATATAAGGAAGAAAATTACATGACTTGTTATTGAACCTGTGTGAGATGAAGCATCACATTTCTTCTTATTTCACGCAAAATGTTTTATCCTCCTTGGCACTACCTTTACATACAGGCTTTTCCATGATGCCTGTTGTTTGATTTCCACAGGTTATCCAATGTGTGGTATTCCAACTATTCGTTCAGATATTCCTGCTCCTCGAATTCGTCGCCTCAGTGACACAACTAATTATGGTGACCAGGGCACTAGTTTTGCATTATTGTTCCCTTCTGTCTTCGGTCAAAATGGAGTGCATGAAAGAGAACTTTTAAAAAAGAGACCAAAGGCAGAGGTATAGTGCATTTTTTCAGCATATTCTTCCAAGATAGTTGTTCCTCTAGCCATGTGGGAGTGGAAAGTCATGTTATCAAATACACAGGTTGTAAAATTCATTGTTGCGAGATTACCATCTTTCTTTACATCCATTTAACGATCTGAAATATATGTACTCTTCACATTATAAATTATTCATAAAGATGGTAGATATTAATTTTATTGAGATCCAAAATATTCAATTTCTGAGCAAGGTCTCAAGCAACCTGGTTTAATGGCAAAGTTTGCCCTGCTTTAATTATGTTGTTGGATGGATGGTCTCCAGAGATCTCTTCCAACCAAAGTTAATCTATATTCCATGAGATGTCTTAAAAGTCCCAGAAGAAAATTTTTACAGGTGCATAAAACTAATTTCTATCACAGAGAGGTGTTCAGTGTAAAATTTTACCCAAAGTGCCTCCCCTCGAACAAACTTGGCAGGTTTTGCTAATGGCAAATTTGGGAAACTACTTGTATATATCTTTTAGGTGCTCTGCTGAGTCACATTCAGAGGCTCAGTTCTGCAAAGGACTTGTACAGTGATAGAAGATACTGGGAGTCATGCAGCAATGCTGTGCTGTCTCATATTTCTGAAGAGGAAGATAGGACATGAGACTGTAGGGAATTTTCTTTCTAATATCTCTGCAGGCTGCTACATCTCTGTTTTTCTCAGACCAGAATTTCTCTCACATAAATACTGAAACAAATTTGCTTCTTCTTCTACAATATTGTTTACTCTTTTGCTTTTACATTTGTATGCAATTTATAGTGAAAAAATATAAAGAGAGAACTTCATTAGCTGAAGTACAATTTATGAGACAATTGCAATGAAATGTGAAATTCCAATCTAAATGAGAAAAGAAGCCTTGGCAACCTGACCCTCTCTACTACTCATTATATTAAATATTCAGTCACGCTTGAAAGCGGATCTGGGATTTGAATATATATTTTACAGAACAGAATGTTGCTAGTTACTGGCTGGATGTGAAAGGTGTGATATCACATTCTATACATATCCATAAAATACCTTGTCAGAATCTTGTACATGAACCATTTTATAGTCTAACTCTGTGAGAGGAAATGCATGCATGCAGCATACAGCTAATAGTAAATAGAATTCATGCTTGATTGAGAAGCCAACTACATCTTTCAAGGACTAGATAGAGCTCTTCTTGGAAGCTATAACACATCCTGAGATATCATACTCCATTGTAGACTATACTGACTATACAGAATTCAGTGCAGAACCACCTCTGAGTCTGTTAAATCACCCTATGTTCATGAAATGGACTGTTTCGGCATTTTATCATTACTATTTTTTAATTAACGTTTTCAAAATATCATAGTTAATGTAGTTATTTTATGAACATATGATATTATTATTAGATGAAAGCCCAGAGTAATGTAATACTACCAGTTTTTGTATAGACCTGTAGAAATGAATGTGAATTCTGACTATAAAACAGTTTCCTGAGGTGACTCATCATGTTACAAAAGAACAAAATACTTCTTGGGCTTGCTGGTTTTTTCACTGGAATCCAGTCTGTTGAAGACAATAGAAGTTATGTAATTGAGTAATAGTGTGTAATTTATATTCAGCATGATCATGTTGACAATAGGTGAGGGTCAGTTTAACCCTCTCTGCACACATGACAGTCCATGGTTTGGTCAGTGATGATTTTATGGCAGTTGGTGAGTCAGGACAGAGCTGTTTGTTAATATGGTGAAGCCAAATTATGGGAGCATGTAGTCCTTTATTGTCGTTGCAATGTTCCTGTGATGGAATATTGCTTTTAGTTTAACTTCTAATGTCGCTAACTCATTGAAGACATTCGATCAAATCTGATTTGTTTTACTCATGGGTAGTATTATTGATTTAACTGAAACGGCACCTCTGCTTAAAGAAACAAAATTCAGTCCCTGTTTTCCTCCTGCAATTTCAGCTGGCATAAACTCATAGATTTACTGGCTAAGATGAAGCTGAAGATTTGCTGTACTGGGGATCAGGCCTGTATTTATACAAAAGACAGTTTTAGAGAAAGATGATCAACTTCATCAAAGCATCCATAAAAATAACACATGCATACACACATTTATGATACAGTTGAAGCCAAACGTTTGCTAATACTAACAGAAACACAAGTCATATCAATATTCTTCTAAAGTAACCTTCCTTTAATGAGTCAACAGGTCAGTGTAATTAGGCATGTAGCAGGAAGCATTCAAGTGAGAAAATATAGAAAACCTCCTGTTTTGATGAATTTACACTTTGGTGTAAAATTATAGCAAGGCCCAAAGTTGATGTGAACCATTTTATTTTAATCACTTCACCTGCTTATCTATTCCAGCTGATGATCTTGTGTATAGTATTCTTGCTGTGAAATGCAGATGATATATAATCTCATCTGTGTTGATAACTGCAAACAGCAAAAACAGTGGATAAACAGAACTTGACTTAGGGCTTTTAAAAAACATTTATTTTTACCCGAGTCTTCTGTGTTTGATTTTTTCCAATGTTGAAATAGTGTACCAACATTATTTGATTAATTACAGACAATTTTGTGTAGTTTTCATCACAATAAGATTTGGATTTACTTAAATAGGAACTTCTTTGGTTAAGGATGCAGAGTGTGATCTGTAGTTTTTATTTAAGAGTGGGAAAATATTCTTTGGCAAATAGGGATTACTAATATATGTAAAAGCCAGACTCAATATAGTTTAACAAAATGCTGACCGGAATCACGTTAATTGTGTATTTTGTATTATTTTTGTAGATTGCACAAATTGTCCACAACATTGGCATGGACGTTTCAGGAGAAAGGTTAGAAGAAATATGGAAGCAAGTGTGTACAAAGCATGAGATAAGAGAACTTTGTGATTGTGAAGAAAGTATGTGGAATATACTGCACATAATAACATGAATCACATGCAAAAACCCATTGCTAATTCCAGTCTCTGGGCATTGCATTTATTTAAATTGACATAATTCTGATGCTGAATACAATAAATATTTTCAATAATGTATGTTTATTGGACTGGAATTCTCTGTGTATTGTCTTTCTGAATAGTGGGTTCATTACGTATATATGGAGCATCATGTTCATAGGAACTGATATACATAGTAATAAAAGAGGATACAGCATGTTTGTAAATTGAATATTTACGTTATATTCCAACTTGCATTTTTTAATTTATTTTTTCTCTTATGAAGAAGACAGTTTTGAAAGTACTAAAGATAAATATTTCAGATATTCAAGACCTCTTAAAGATTACTGTAATAGAATGACATTTTGCCTTACTTCTAATATTCCATAATTATTGTCAACAGTGATCTGGTTGTGGCATAATATTTGACATGTTTAAAAATTCATGTGAGAAAGTGCTTTACAGTAAAATAGTGAGGAAAATACATAGCCACGGTGCAGGATCTAAAGTGTTGTCATCAAAGAGACTCCATAAAACCCAATGGGTTAAGAAGTGCAAAAATAAATGCTCAGTTGTGTGGCAGAGGGCTCATATCCTCTATGCAAGCTTATGGCTATTAGTAGTAATCGACTTTCACAAACAAAAAAAAAAGAATGAATATTTAGAGGTGTTTGTGCTAAAATCTGCAACTGTGAATTGGAATGTTCACTCTTCACCTACAGTACTGAACTTGGTATAAAACAAATGGAAATTGTTCATTATTAACAGAGAAATGTTATTTCTAGACTTTCAAAGTAATATAAAGGAAAGATCCTTGCCCAGTGTAATCTTATCACATAGGATTTCAGGAAGGATATAACTTTGTCACCTATTGGTGCTTTAAATACCTTAGTAAGATTTGGAGAACATTGCCAGCCAAGTTACTGAGTTCTACAATGAAAGTAAAGGTTCTGATACCTTAAATACTAGAAATGCACATGTACTGCCAGTGTACTTAAAATTTCATTGTGACCTTTTCCTCACATGATTGTTAAGCTTCTTTTTTTGACCATGTTCTAGGAGCTTGTCATTTACTAGCTTGTTACATGAAATCTCCAATCTGCAAGCTAGACCCTTTTCTACTTTATTATTGTGGCATTAATAGTAGCTGTCTTACATCAAATAGATAGAATTTGCTTTCTGGTATCACCAGGGAGCAGGTGGTGGAAATGTTGCTTGATGAAGACAGTCTCTTTCCTTCTGTGAATGTTTTTCTGTGCTGCTGTAGTTTTGCCTTCTCATCCTTCTGGAACTCTCTGCGTGCAGTTGGAAGCATGCAGGAAGCAGACTGTAACTATCCCAAGTGGACAAATGACAGAAAGATAAATGTATGGCTAATTTCAATTGAATTTATTATGTCAGGATTTTACTACCTCCAGTGAAATTCTTTAAAACTTCTCTTCTGCTCATATAATATGGGAGGGAAGAATTCTTTGCCTTTGTTGCAGCAGACTTCCAAAAGCATTAGACAGAATTACTTTTAAAAAAACATATGTATTTTTCTCCTTCAATAGAAAATTTTATATGAAAGAATTAAGCTCACTCCAGGGAAAAAATAAATTAAAAAAAAAATTACCAGATTCGTGCGTGTTTGTGTGTATGTACATATATGTATATATATGAGACTTGTTGTGTTTGTTCAGCAGCTTGAAATTCTGTGTAACCTGTCTTTTGAATCTAGTGTAGATACCCACTTGCATTCCTCTACTTTCAGTGGAATCTTTTCCTGTGTCAATTAAATGCTATTAACATTGTTCTTGGGCAGTCTTCTAAATAATAAGTAAATAAAGAAGACTGATAAATCAAGGTTCAGTTTTTTGCCAGTGTATTTCTAACCACAGACTAAAGATTTCCTTTCAAGTTGAGGTTTGAAATTAACTAACTTTCAGTCATTACCTCTCTGAAGCTTTAAAGGACTAATTACAGAGCAGAGCCATAAATTCTGCTTGTTAGGCGCTTTTTTTTCATCACAATATTCATAGGAGGCCCCTGAAAGACTTAATCACTGTGACAGAGACAGTTACTTCTCTGGAGTTTCCCAATCCTTTTGTTTTCTTTAGTTAAATACTTTGTGTACACAGAGCCTTCGTGCAGACTTTTGTATTCCATTTATGTTTGACATCCCAACATGTGAATTCAATGACATGTTTATAGGATTTAGAGCTTCAGCTTGTGTCCTCTGATTTTTATGGTTCCTTCAAGATATTTCAATTGACAGAAAATAAAAGGTTTGCTTTCTTCTATATTGCAGCGTGATTCTAGGTATGGAGTTGATTATGACAGAACAGCACACTACCTTGCATTAACCTGTGGGCTGTATCCAAGGCAAAGTTTTCCAGGAAGAACTGGGAAAACAACCTTCACTATGACTCAAAAGCCATGTGTTCTAAGAGCAAATGTACACATTTAGTGCTTGAGAGAATTTTTTCTGTTAATGGTTATATTAAAAAATCACAGTGATTGTAAATGTGTTGACTGAGACATTGTGGACAAAACTAGTACACAGCAAATTATAACAAAGGTAAATGTTAAAAATCAGTGAGTTCTAGACATTTTGGGTCAAATTTTCTTTATGGAATTTTTATAAAAATAGACACTGGATAAAAGACACAGCACATTCAGATACTTGTGCACTATTTCTCCCTAATCTCTGTTTCACTGCAATGATTACTCCAAAGAATAATGTATTTAATAATGATGCATTTTTATTTGGTTCTATCAAATGAACAAAGTTCATTTTAGAGCAGAGATATTGGTTTCCAGGGACAGAGCAGGGAGATCTTCCTATCTCCAGAGGTAGAGGCCAGTGTTTGCGCCTCCCCAAAAGTCATGGTGAGGAAACTGACTTTCAATACCTGAAAACAGCTGTAAAAGATAAGGTTGAGGATTTGAATGTGCAAAATTACCTTTTATTCATTCTGTATTTCTGGCTCTTAATCTTTAGAATTTGAATATTAGCACATATTGTCATATATTAGAATGTGAATATGAGCCTACAGCTAATATGACTTATTTGTCAGTAACTTGGGCTAAGTAAAGCTGATGTTGGTCTCAATTATTCTGTTATTATTACTATTGTCTGATGGAAAAATTCATCTGTGCAATGATTTGTGTTCGAGATGCTGGAAGATTCAGCCTACTGTCTTCCATTGCCTTGATATTATTGCTAGATTACTTTAATATATTTGTCTTAAAAAGATTCAGCCTTTTTTTTTTTCTCCTGAATATCAAGAATTACTGGTTTTCAGTGATCTACCTTATCAAGTAAATTTCCTGTTCCTGGAACTCATTCCTAGAAGTGAATGGCCAGTTTTGCTTGGTTGCTTGGTTTAGTTTTTAAACTGTATATAATCATTTGGATGCTAAATAGAATGCTAATAACCTTTTATGCTGAGAAGAGTATGTCAAATAGATGTTTAAGCAAAAAAGGAGGTACTGTGGAAAAAGTTTCCAGGAAGATGACCTAAGTCTTTGTTTTGCCAACAGGTATGAGCTGGTATGCTGGTTTTGGAATGACTTATACAGCCTAAGTAGTTGATGTTTGCCATTAGGATGTATTTGATTGGACATTGGTTATTTACATTTGACGGTCTATCACGGGGCACCATCCGCCTGCACGGCTTCAGCCTCTGTGCCTTCACTCTGTGTCCAGAGTGCTTCTCTAGCAGATGGGTACAGGTTTAGGCATGCCAGAGAAACACTTAAGTGCTGAATGGTTAAGTGTTCCAATTGGATCTATATTTCTTTACTACTCTTTAATACTATATTAATTTTGAAGATGACAAACCTGTAGGAAACAAAGCTGATGCAAACCTGTAGGAAAGATTTTGACATCTTTGACCAGGATTAATCTGCAAGGAGAAAGGTAGTTAAAACAGTTGTCACTCTGCTCTGATTTGCCAAGACAGGCGCTTGTTGATTTCTGCCAGGTGTGTGCAGCCTCTCTGAGGCCTGGAGTAGGTAGAGAACGTGTGTATCCTGGGTCCATGTTCCTTCTTCCAAGTGTGGAAATTTATATTTCTGGGGACACAGGTATGTGCAGCTGTGTTCTGAGGTTATACCCTAGAGATGACGTGTTAAATTCTATAATACCCAAGGAGTAAATATTTGATGTATTCTGTGTGTTTCAAAGCTCACTCATTCCAGTGCCTACATGTAAATGAAAATGGCAAAATCAAGACCTAATCTGAAAAAAAAAGAGGGCTAAAGTACTGCAGAGAGGTTTTATTCATGTGGCTTTTGTGAAGTCTCTCTTCCTCTAGTAATAGGGATCATATGGTCTGCATCTTAAAAAAAATAATAATCCTGTGTGTGGTGTATATTCACTAGATAAGGTTCTACCTCACAATCAGCTCAAAAGCAGACAGAGTATCTTAAGAACACATGCTTCTAGAAATAGCTTTTCTGTAAACCTTGAAATTTTTTGCAGATTCTAGAAACTGTCAAGTATTTATTTGAATCTGGGGTGGAACAAAGGCCTGAAATAAAAGCAGAAGCGTTTTCAAATGGTACCAGTTAATCATGGGGTGATTTTTTTTCCCCCAGTAGTTTTCAACAGATTATAAAGACAGAATACAAGATCCTCTATGACTGCTTTACTAAAAGTGTGTTCCCCAAGGAAGTGACAAGGCTGAATGCATAAAAAAATGTAGAGCTTTTTCTTGTGAGCAATGAATATAACATAAGAATGTAAAGAGTATCTCTACAGGGCAGCCCAAAGGTTCTATCTAGTCCAGTGTGCCATCTGACAGTGGTCAAAAACATGTTTATGGAGAAGTACCCTATCAGGGCAAAAGTTTTGATGTTTCTTCTGGGCAATCTTCCAGTGTTTCAACCACTTGAACTTCAAGTGGTTGAAAAGAAGGAAGGACTGAGATACAGTGAACATGGATTTAAAAGTGGCAGACAGGAGCTTTCTCTGCACTATCAGTTTATTTCCCTCAATAGGAAAATTATTAGAAAGGACTGCTGTATTTCAAATGTAGAGTCGGGGTAGTTTCAAAAGTGTTCAAAGCTATACAATTATATTATACGGAGTCAGAAAGGCACTGCTGAGTGCA